GGATGGAGAGGAGGGGATGGAGAGGAGGGGAGCAGCAGGCTCTGCTCTGGCCATGGTTTGTGCAGGGGATTCAGAAAAGCAGCTGACATAGCTACCAGCAGAAAGCTGCCTAGAGGAGCTGGAACAGCTGCTGAAGAGAAGTGGCTGGCTGCTCACTTGGAGCCACAAACCCTCCAACATGCTGCAGAACATTTGGATATTTGGATTCTGACCCACCTGATCATGGAGCAACAGAAAAGCAGAAAAAAAAACAACCAAAAAAAAACCCCAAACCCCCCACACAATACTGGGATAGTGAAGTTGAAAACCATTGTGGTAATTTATAGCAGCCTAGAACTGGTGATGCTAATTCCTTGAAAGGGCTAAAATGACTTCTGAACTGTGAACACGTAGCCAGGGTGTGCAGCTGTGGGGGGAGAAGAGTCAGAACCCAGAGCGGGTTCAGCTCCTGCTCTGGGCAATCAAAGGGCTGGGAAACCTCAGATCTGCTCAGGACAGGTCACATTTAAGGGCTGATCACCCCAAACCTCAGATCTGCCCAGGACAGGTCACTGGGAAGGGCTGATCACCCCAAACCTCAGAGCTGCCCAGGACAGGTCACATTTAAGGGCTGATCACCCCAAACCTCAGATCTGCCCAGGACAGGTCACATTTAAGGGCTGATCACCCCAAACCTCAGAGCTGCCCAGGACAGGTCACATTTAAGGGCTGATCACCCCAAACCCCAGAGCTGCCCAGGACAGGTCACATTTAAGGGCTGATCACCCCAAACCCCAGATCTGCCCAGGACAGGTCACATTTAAGGGCTGATCACCCCAAACCCCAGAGCTGCTCAGGACAGGTCACATTTAAGGGCTGATCACCCCAAACCCCAGATCTGCCCAGCACAGGTCACATTTAAGGGCTGATCACCCCAAACCCCAGATCTGCCCAGCACAGGTCACATTTAAGGGCTGATCACCCCAAACCTCAGAGCTGCCCAGGACAGGTCACATTTAAGGGCTGATCTCTGCAGAGCCCCATCGGGCAGGAACCCCCAGGGTGAGTCTGGGCAGAGCTGGAGGACACCAGAAGCTCGGTGGGGACCTCCAGTGGAGGAAGCTCTGCTCCAGCAGCTGGGACTGGTGTCTGGCTATTGCCTTTACATTGCTTGGCACCTAACGAGGAAGGAAGAAATCACCCACAGAAAGAATTTTTCTGGAAAAAAAATACTAAACTACTTTTTTTTTTTTTTTATGCTTAAAAAAACCCAATAATTGACTAGTTCTGAAAATTAACAAGCTATTAAACTATGTAAAAACTGGGTCTGCTTCTGTGAAATCTACATTTTAAAACAGGCAAATCCAAGAAATAATATATATAGTATATACACACATATATAATATATATATTATAAAAGATATACATTTCATTATATAAAATTTTATAAATATAATAGATAACAATATATTATATTATTATATAATATATACTAATATACAATTCTATTACATAATATATAATATATAATATATAATATGTAATATGTAATATATATATAATATAGATATGTATAATATATAATATATATACAGGTGTGACCCAGGTGTGCTCAGGTGTGCCCAGGTGTATCCCAGATGTACTCAGATGTGCTCAGGTGTGTCCCAGATGTGCACACGTGTGACTCAGGTGTGTCCCAGCTGTGCCCAGCTGTGCTCAGGTGTGTCCCAGCTGTGCCCAGGTGTGTCCCAGCTGTGCTCAGGTGTGTCCCAGCTGTGCCCAGCTGTGCCCAGCTGTGCCCAGGTGTGTCCCAGCTGTGCCCAGCTGTGCCCAGGTGTGTCCCAGCTGTGCCCAGGTGTGTCCCAGCTGTGCTCAGGTGTGTCCCAGCTGTGCCCAGGTGTGTCCCAGCTGTGCCCAGCTGTGCCCAGGTGTGTCCCAGCTGTGCCCAGCTGTGCCCAGGTGTGTCCCAGCTGTGCCCAGCTGTGCTCAGGTGTGTCCCAGCTGTGCCCAGCTGTGCCCAGGTGTGTCCCAGCTGTGCCAGAGGTTTGGGAAGGGCCGGGGGGGGATCAGCGCTCTGCTGCAGACCCGTGCAGCCCCTGGAGCTGGCTGTGTTGGTTCCCAAGTAAGAAATGGGAGCAGTGAAGAGCCCCTGGGGTTCCGAGGGGCGGCAGGAGTTTGGCCAAGCTCGCTCTGCTCCTTTCCCCAGGAGTGCATCATTGACGAGGACTGCGAGCCAGGGAAGTTCTGCCTCTTCTCCCCCTCGGAGTACCGATGTCAGCTCTGCAAGCCCCAGCACACGGTGAGTCCTGAGCGAGGGGGGATTCCAGGAGATCTTCACAAGCTCTGCAAGGTACTGCTGCTAATGGCAACAAGACAAAATTGACAGAAAAGAAGCTGCAAAGCTTTCTGCACCAGGGTAAAAATACTTTCTTCTTAGTGTGGGGTAATTAAAACCCGGGACTGGGGTGGCCCGACACCCACCCCCCTCCCCACCTTTCCCTGCAGCTCCCAGCAGAACACCTGTAGGAGCAGGAAAGTGAAAACTGGGTCCCGACTGCTCTTGTGTGGAGTCAATTCCCCGAGCTAGAACCTGCCCAGTTACACAGCATTTCCCCCTGAATTAGCAGCTCTCAGCAGTGCCAGTGTAGTCCTGCCCCTCTCCCCGTGTTAAACACTGCCTGTGGGATGGGCTGGGAAAGAAATCCAGATTTTGTGTGGCTGCCCAGACAGGGAAAAGCTGCTGAGAGGCTGCTCTGCTACATTGTTAATTAAAAAACTGAAAAAATAACCGAAAAAAGGGAACCAAGTGACACACGTGGCTTTTGTTGGGTTGATTTCTGAGGCGTGTGTAGTTGGAACACCGGGACAATTGTTGTACAAAGCGACCTTCAGCATTTCTGATTTGCAAAGAGATTTGTTTTTCAGAGAGATTTTTTCAAAGGTTCTTGGTTACCAATGGGGTCTGGTTCTAATTACAACTAAAAAATGGATTTTAGTCAGACTTTATTTTTTTTTGCTTTGCTCTTTGAAAACAATTCTCCTGAACAAATTGTAAATTCCTGCCTGCATTTGTCAATGGAAAAGATCAGCAATGTCCTCCGTTGATGACGTTTCACTTATTAATTTCTATTTCCCTTGATTGCAGAAGAGAGGGCCCCAGGGAGAGCCTGGAGCAGCATTTCAGTGCTGAGGGGGCTACAGGAGAGCTGGAGAGGGACATCCTGCAAGCATGGAGTGACAGGATAAGGGGAATGGCTTAAATGGGGGGAGAGTAGGGTTAGAGGGGATATTGGGCAGGAATTGCTCCCTGGGAGGGTGGGGAGAGGCCAGGCTGGAATTCCCAGTGAAGCTGCAGCAGGGCTGGATGGAGCAGTGCCCCGGACAGGGCTGGTTTGAGGGGTACACAGGGCAGGGCAGGGTTTGAGGGGTCCCCAGGACAGGGCAGGGTTTGAGGGGTACACAGGGCAAGGTTTGAGGGGTCCCCAGGACAGGACAGGGTTTGAGGGGTACACAGGACAGGGTTTGAGGGGTCCCCAGGACAGGACAGGGTTTGAGGGGTACCCAGGGCAGGGATAGATGGGCTCTGCTGCTCTGTCCCCGTGCCCGTAGCTCCGGGTGTGCTCAGCCCAGGGAACGGGCAGTTGTGCCGGATCTCTGCTCCGGGGTCATTTCTGTCCCTGGGGCTGTGGGAGCCGCACGGAGCCCTCCGGAGCCCCTTTCTGAGCAGGTTTTTCCCGCAGCGCTGCTCTCGGGACGCCGAGTGCTGCGGGGAGCAGCTGTGCCGCTGGGGCCGCTGCAGCAGCACCGCGAGCAGGGGAGAGAACGGCACCATCTGCGAGAGGCAGCAGGACTGCAGCCCCGGCACCTGCTGTGCCTTCCACACAGGTACGGGCTCCCACCACAGGTACGGGCTCCCACCACAGGTACGGGCTCCCACCACAGGTACGGGCTCCCACCACAGGTACGGGCTCCCACCACAGGTACGGGCTCCCACCACAGGTACGGGCTCCCACCACAGGTACGGGCTCCCACCACAGGTACGGGCTCCCACCACAGGTACGGGCTCCCACCACAGGTACGGGCTCCCACCACAGGTACGGGCTCCCACCACAGGTACGGGCTCCCACCACAGGTACGGGCTCCCACCACAGGTACGGGCTCCCACCACAGGTACGGGCTCCCACCACAGGTACGGGCTCCCACCACAGGTACGGGCTCCCACCACAGGTACGGGCTCCCACCACAGGTACGGGCTCCCACCACAGGTACGGGCTCCCACCACAGGTACGGGCTCCCACCACAGGTACGGGCTCCCACCACAGGTACGGGCTCCCACCACAGGTACGGGCTCCCACCACAGGTACGGGCTCCCACCACAGGTACGGGCTCCCACCACAGGTACGGGCTCCCACCACAGGTACGGGCTCCCACCACAGGTACGGGCTCCCACCACAGGTACGGGCTCCCACCACAGGTACGGGCTCCCACCACAGGTACGGGCTCCCACCACAGGTACGGGCTCCCACCACAGGTACGGGCTCCCACCACAGGTACGGGCTCCCACCACAGGTACGGGCTCCCACCACAGGTACGGGCTCCCACCACAGGTACGGGCTCCCACCACAGGTACGGGCTCCCACCACAGGTACGGGCTCCCACCACAGGTACGGGCTCCCACCACAGGTACGGGCTCCCACCACAGGTACGGGCTCCCACCACAGGTACGGGCTCCCACCACAGGTACGGGCTCCCACCACAGGTACGGGCTCCCACCACAGGTACGGGCTCCCACCACAGGTACGGGCTCCCACCACAGGTACGGGCTCCCACCACAGGTACGGGCTCCCACCACAGGTACGGGCTCCCACCACAGGTACGGGCTCCCACCACAGGTACGGGCTCCCACCACAGGTACGGGCTCCCACCACAGGTACGGGCTCCCACCACAGGTACGGGCTCCCACCACAGGTACGGGCTCCCACCACAGGTACGGGCTCCCACCACAGGTACGGGCTCCCACCACAGGTACGGGCTCCCACCACAGGTACGGGCTCCCACCACAGGTACGGGCTCCCACCACAGGTACGGGCTCCCACCACAGGTACGGGCTCCCACCACAGGTACGGGCTCCCACCACAGGTACGGGCTCCCACCACAGGTACGGGCTCCCACCACAGGTACGGGCTCCCACCACAGGTACGGGCTCCCATCCCAGGTACGGGCTCACACAGGGACGGGCTCCCATCACAGGTCCGGGCTCACACACAGGTACGGGCTCCCCCCGGCCGGGAGCGGCTCCGAGCCTTTTCTCGGGATCAGCGGGGTTTGGGATCCCCGAGGGGTGGGTGGTGCTGCTCTCCTGCCTCGGCAGCAGAGTCCGAGTCGGCTGCTCTGGCTCATTAAGGATGAACTTCCAGTGTCTCACTCCCACCCAGTGCAGAAAGCAGGGCTGTGGCTCCCTGCCATGTGAGGGATGGAGAGAGAGAGACGGAGCCTGTGTTCGTGTGCCCGCACACAGAATTAACCCTGGGCTCACCCCAGTTCAGCAGGAGCTCAGGACTCCTCCCAAAACGCCTTTTCCTGCAGAGCTGCTGTTCCCCGTGTGCACGCCCCTGCCTGAGGAGGGGGAGCCCTGCCACGACCCTTCAGACCGACTCCTGAACCTCATCAGCTGGGAGCTGGAGCCCGACGGGGTCCGGGAGCGCTGTCCGTGCGCAGGGGGCCTGAGCTGCCAGCCCCGGAGGTGAGCACTGAGCTGGTACCGAGCTGGTACCGAGCTGGTACCGAGCTGGTACCGAGCTGCCAGCCCTGGAGGTGAGCACTGAGCTGGTACCGAGCTGGTACCGACCTGGTACCGACCTGGTACCGAGCTGCCAGCCCTGGAGGTGAGCACTGAGCTGGTACCGAGCTGGTACCGAGCTGCCAGCCCCGGAGGTGAGCACTGAGCTGGAACTGAGCTGAGACTGAGCTGGTACCGACCTGGTACCGACCTGGTACCGACCTGGTACCAAGCTGCCAGCCCCAGAGGTGAGCACTGAGCTGGAACTGAGCTGGAACTGAGCTGGTACAGAGCTGGTACCGACCTGGTACCGACCTGCCAGCCCCGGAGGTGAGCACTGAGCTGGTACAGAGCTGGCACAGAGCTGGTACAGAGCTGGTACCGAGCTGGTACTGAGCTGGCACAGAGCTGGTACTGAGCTGGCACAGAGCTGGGACTAAGCTGGTACTGAGCTGGTACAGAGCTGGCACAGAGCTGGTACAGAGCTGGTACCGAGCTGGTACTGAGCTGGTACCGAGCTGGCACAGAGCTGGTACAGAGCTGGTACTGAGCTGGCACAGAGCTGGTACTGAGCTGGTACCGAGTTCTTTGCATCATCAGCAGTTCCACTGGCAGAAAGTGAGATCATTTCAGTCTTGCTAAAAGCACTTTTAGAAAACCCACATTTTCTATGAAATAAATCCTCCAAGTTTGCTCTACACTACCAACACCTCGTTAACTTCCAACAAGGCGTCATAGCTGGGATGGAGATGCAGATTAGTATTTCTCTCTTCTGTGTCCAACTCTTTCTACATTGTTTCATGCTTGAAAAGGATCTGGGTAACATTTTGCTTCATAAACGTCACCTAAGGAAGCAAGCAGAGCTGGTCCCATCCTTTCAACACCACCTTTTTTGTTAATGCACCATTAACCTCAGGGAAGGTCTGTCAGCAAATGTCAGATCGAGTAAGAACATTTCAGATGAGGATACAGGAACACAGAAATTCATTAGGGTGTGAAAATAGCTGAACTGCCCAGAATTTTCTCTCTGAACTTGAAGATTCAAGTAGCATTTTTTTGTTATCTGTTCATTTGAGGGCCACTGCTCTCTCGTTTGCCAGGATCAGAGTTTTTGTGCTGTTAGGATCTGTGTATGTGGAAAGCACATTTATAACTCTCCAGCTGCCAGGCCTGTAGGAACCAGGTGCTTGTGAAGCCAGCTAGGGAGGAAGCATTGTGCATTTGACATGTTTTCACGTGGGGAGGGAATGGGGAATTTCAGAGTGGCAGCAGGACACAAAAGCCTGCCCTGGATGACCAATGTGCCTTTTCCCACCAGCCACAGCACTGCCTCTGTGTGTCAGCCGCCCGCCAACGGAACCCAGCACGCTGAGAGAGAAGATCCCTCGCTCATGGAGGAGATGCCCTTTCTCAGCTTGATGCCCCAAGATCTCCTCTCTGATTACGAGGAGAGCAGTGTCATTCAGGAAGTGCGTAGAGAATTAGAAAGCCTGGAGGACCAAGCAGGTTTGAAGCCTGAGCTTGACTCAGCTCAGGAGCTGGTTTTGGGAGATGAAATCTAAAGCCCAAGCACCAGTCTAGTTAGTTGTTTCTAGATTTTTTTCTGTTTAGTGTCTTGCTTGTTTGAACCCTGATCACACAATGCTGGATAGAAGTGCAATAAACAAGGTCTGCAAGGAGCATCCTTCTCTCTGTGCACCAAAGCTGCGTGTCCCAGCTGCTGTGGAGTCCATGCAGTGCCTGGACCAAAGCTCCTGCCACAGGGGAACCCCACGAGTGCCCTGCTGGATTTGTACTTTCCCCCTGTATGTCGGAAATAAACTTCTCAGTACTTGTACTCATTAAAAAATGCACACAGGCATAAATCATTTTCAATTACCAGAAACTGCAGAAGTGACCTTTGAGTACGGATGTTCAGAGTTGCTTTATTTCTCTAGAGTAAGAACCATCCACTCTGACACTGCTGCAGTCATAAGTTTTAAGGAATTTTTAAAGGAATTTTAATTTTTTTCTTTAGAATTGGTTTGTGCTTTTAATACACTTCATGTTACAAGATGGGATTATTTTTACCACCTTGAAAGGTCATCAATGTAAAAAATCAATAGCAAGCTAAGAGCAAAGTCTGACCCCCCAACCTCCCCAGTTTGCTAGCACGACTCCTCCACTGTCAGGTTTTCTGGCATTCCGATTTTACCATCTGTTGTTGCACATGGTAAAACAAGATGTGAGGTTCCAGCCAAGTAACTTTGCACAGTGCTTCTCCCCAAATAATCCCTACTGCTCAGGCCTACCTTGGAACAGCAGAGCACCAGGAACAGGAGCAGGTGTAAGACACTGCTGCCAGCCTGCACATCTTTCACCACTTCTGGTGTATGAAGGCTCTTCAATAAATCCCTGGGCAACAGAATTAATAATTAGTAGCCATTATCATTATAAATAGGGAGGGTATTTCATTGTAACTGTGTGAGTTTTGGTTTAAGGATTCTACAACCCATTCTCCCACCAACACACACACACAGACACTGTCTCTGAGTCTACACCCTCCCTTTCGACCCCCAATAAAATCATTGTGCTGTAGAGACAGCCCCATCTATGCAAAGAGAAGGAATTAAGTGCCACCACAATTTTTCCTGTTCTAAAACATATCCGTGAGAGCAGTAACTGTCTGTAAATACTGCCCTCTTAAGGACAGTATTTCAAGGTCTTAGTGCTGCCATCCCCAGATTGAATCTCTACATTTCTGCCTTTCCAAATGTCTGAGTTGGAAGAAAATTCACAATCCATTTGAGAGGTAATTTTTCTCTCTTCCAAAAGCTCTATGGCTGCTTGAGCAGTCTCTGTGGCAAATGGCAGCTTAATGAAGTACCCTTCCTAGGGGATGGTATTTCCCTCTCTGCTCCCTTTTCCCCACTTCCAACCTCAGGAATGTTGGCCAGAGGCAGCACAGGGCAGCCAGAGGAGGAATGATGAGGGGATGCCTCTGTGCAATTCCTGCTCCTCAGGCTGCCAGATTCCTCAGCATTTTTAGCTTGCTGTGGGCCAGCATGCAGGGAAGAACTGAAGGTTCTGTTATTCAACACCCCTTTCCCTCTGGAGCAGAATTTATCTGCCAGTCGTACTTGGAACTTTCACTGGTGAGAAATTCGGTTCTGGAAAAGGAAACTCAGAGTTGAAGAAAGATTTGGTGTGAATGTGAAGAGGAGCAGCAGCCAGGCTATAAAGCAGTTCCTGTAACACTCTGCACATACACACAAACACACAGCCTTGCAATTCCAGCACTGCCTTGGGGAACTCTGTATTTCCATGAAACGATTCCATAATTCTTGAAATAAAAACACAGCATTTAATGATTAAAATAACACAACAGAATGAACAAATGTTTTATTGGCATGTTCATCGTTGTAAACAGCATCTGGCATGAAAAAGTTTACCAAAATCTTTTGATTGTTATAAATTAGATGGTTTTTCCAAAAACTATGGAGAATTGTTCTCTATTGATCTTTATGGACCAAAGCAAAAAATTGCTGTTCCTAGGCTTTGCAATGAAATCATGTTGACTGCATCAGTCTCTGCACCACAGCCTGAACTACCGAGTTCGTACGTTGAGGTGTTAAGAGGTTGCCCCAATATTTGACTACATAAAGCTATGAAATCAACTCTGGGAAAAACAAACTGACTTTCAGCAGGTGGAGAAGATGCAAACTTGTAATAGTCTTAAAAACAAAATGTACAAAAAGTAGCAGAACAGAAGGAAAACTTCATTAACAAGGGGAAGTACAAGCCTAAAGTACCCAGCATCGTCAAACATAAAATGAATACAGATTTAAATAGGCAACTACACTTCCAAATGTACACAACGAAATGTCGATATGTGTAAAGAAACAGCATGGGAAAATAGCTGAACTGCAGTTCTGGGAAATGGGTAGGGCAGATTTTATTTACAATCCAACGCAATACACTAGAGCTGCTCATGGGTAACCTATGAAAAACCACTTTACCTTCCACCAGCACTTCTGCAAACCATCACTGCCCGGCAGCAGCTTCCTGCAGACACCCCAGTGAGCCCCTGCTTTATGGAAGAAGATTGTTAAACCTGACACTTGCAGCACTCCCCCGCTGCCTCCCTGGAACCCACGTGTTAAGGTTTACTCCAGACTCTCTGATGAGGTAATGCGTGTATCAGTGAAACAAACAGAGAAAAGGATTCTTTCATGGCCTTTGCACAGCTTTTATTATTAAGCTATGAGTATCCTGTTGGAGGCTAGTTTCACTAGCTACTATGTGCACACTGTCCTCAACAACTGCCACTCGTTTCCCTCCCCGCCCACTTTTGAGTTCTAATCTTTTATTTGCACATCCCTTTTAGCTTTACAGTACATTTGACTATAGTGCACAACATGATTCCAAGTCCCACGGTGCGCGGCGGGCGCTGCCTGCGGCCGGCACGCCCGGCCGTGCTGGTGGCAGCGCTTTACACCTAATGAATGTCCTGCCATAATGGCACTACACAGTAGTAGTGAACCTTTTGATTGGAAACAAAAAAAATTCCCCAGGGAGAATGCTATAGCGAGTATCAGTCTTGAGTCAAATCTTTATTTGGTGCTCCATCCAGATAAATTTTTAGTGCTTTTTCTTTACGGGGAGAGTAGGTTACCCGGTGTCCAGTTTTCTGCAGTCTGCTGCTTTCTTTTTTCATCAGTTCATTTCTTTGCTCATCTGTTAATTCCATTAATTCTTCAGTTTTATCCCTAAAGTGTAAACACACGTTCAAATTCAGATCAACACTGTAACCACAAGTAGACTCCTGCTTTCTTTTTTGCTTGGAGCAACTCGGTGAAATCCACAGCTAAGTGTAATATTTCTCAGGGACTGCTTTATTCTGCAGGAACAGGCAATGTGTCCAGAGCTGCTTTTCCAGCAGAAGCATTGGGTGTCCTGCCAGACTAGAGACCAGGGCAAGAACCAAGCCCACACTCCTCCACCTCTCCTGCTCCTCTTTGTTACAGCCACAGCCCTGCTCTGCTTTTGGTCCCAGTGCCAGCAGCTGGCAGCAGTGTGTCAGCCAGCCCCTACCAGGCGTTCCCCCAAGCCATTTCCATCAGGACCAGCACGTTTTTAACCAGCTGCTTTTGCCCAGCTCAATTATTCAAAATGCCACAGCAATGTGTCCATGAGGCTGCCCCACCCGCCAGCTTTAGGAGAAATTACAATATTAAAGCTCTCAGTCCTCAACTCCTGCCCTGGGCTACTGCCACCAGCTGATCAGCATTTTTCACATTAACAGAATTTTTAGCATAACAGGCTTTTTAGAAAGAATCTGTACTGATTTCTCAAAAAAATAAACTCAGATAATAAAATCCTTGCTCTCCAAAACCTACAGCAAGGCTCTCACTAACTTCATGTGGGATATGGTTCTATTTTAAAAAATTAAATCCAGATACACACTCAAGCATAGCAACTAACTTTAATTTCAGTGGTTTGGGAGGGAGGATTGAGTACAAAGGTGCAGCGCCCGTTTTCTTAATTAATATTTAGGCTTTTAGGAGGCAGAGGAGCACAAATATTTCAGCTGAACACTAAACCTTTTCTTGAAGGTAACAAAGAGTATTTCATGTTCCTGTCCATTACATCACCCCACAAATGTTAACCACAGGTTTTTTTGGCATGGTTGATTATACTGTAATGAAATACATACCTATAAAATATTACTGCACCATCATCACAAATGTACAGGGGCCAGACATTCAATGTAGATACTTTTGGATTCCAGTCCAAGTCTTGATGAATCTCTAGTATGGAAATGTCACATGGAAAGGTTCCTCTACCCTGAAAAAAAGCCATTACTTACTGAATGCAGTAAAACTCATCATCACACACCTGTGCCATTCAAAGGTAGAAATACACAAAATCTTACTTACCTTTGCAAATTCAATGTTTTCTAAGGGTATTCCACTTATTTCACTTAGCTGTGGAGAGAAATGGTGGATTTAATACTATTCCAAAGCAACATTACACAGTGTCTACTAAAGTCACCAGTTGACAAATGGAGAATTATCTGCAAGTCCTCCAGTGTACAAAAGCACAGTGACAAGGACAAATTCTTAACATTTCTGAAGTTACCAGTGCGTGTCACAAGTGACGCTTGCTGTGACAGCATTTCACCACACTTCTCTTAATACTGAAGGGGAGACAAAAAAAAGTTATAGAAACAATTAATTAATTGATACAAAGATACAAGACACAAAGAGACCAAGTGCCTCACATTAAAGCCTGTGTGACATGGAAGGTGCTATCCAGTCAACCTGAGAGCAGGCACAGCTGAAAGTATTCGTGGCTGAGACCCACCTCCACACATCTGCACCTCCTACCAGAACTTACAAAAATAAAATTGCTCCCTGCACATCAATTCTTAAGGCAAGAAAACAAAGGCAGCCAACTCTTTCTTCAGATACAAGTGAGGAGGAATTCTTGACTGCATGCAAGAACCTGTAGTCATAACTTCATTTCTACCTGAGGAATGCAGGAAAGCAGCCACAGCTTAACCTGTGTAAAACACAAGGCCAGCCTGTGGACTAACACCCCTACTTTATCAATTCTCAGGGTCACTGACACCAGCATTTTCACTGGCCTCAACACCCAAGGTGGCCTCCTAACAATTGGGCATTGCCACGTATAAATAACCTTTCTCCAAGTGTGGAGCCCTGTGTTACACTGGATTAACGAAACAGTCTCAACAGAAGACACTCCTCCAGATTTCTGCTGGCATGACACAGTTCTGCTCGCCTGCTAGAGTAAAACCAATCTGTACCACAGCCATACCTCTATCCAAACAAAACACAGTTCAACCTACTTGATACAGCAACACCACTCCTCAGCAACAGCTCTCAAATTCAAATATGAGTAGGCTGAAAGGTTTGGGACTTTGGAATAACAAAACATTAGCTTGAAAAAACACCAAGAGGCAACAACTTAGCTTTTCTCTCAAGTGTGTTTTTTGAGGTTAAGGGACACAGGTACAATTAAGCTGCTTGAACTTCAAGAGATGACTTTTTTTGCATGTATTCACTTGAGTACTTTCAGACCAGACCATGATGTGAAACTAAGAGAAGCAAAGTTGATAATTTGTGTGGTTTGGTAATGGGATGGGACAGGTTACCAGCTCCTGGGGAAAAATAAATACCATGCAACAAGATTTTTGGAACTATGACATCCTTGTGCTTCCCAGCAGAGAACATCAATAAGGCTCTTGGTCATCACAAGAAGCTTGCATCACGTTACACATTTTACCTTTTCTTTTAATTCTTCCACACTGCTGCTTTCTAGTACAACTTCCTGGAAAGAATCTAATTTCATCTCTGACGGCCTCCATCGTCTCGATAAAACAGCAAGTTGTGACATGGATTTCATCTTTTCTACTCCTAGCAAAGAAAGAGAAATTTCTTGTATTAACATCACAATATATCCTGTTTTAAATTAGGGTTTGTCCATAACTTAAAGATACTCTGATATGGAAGACTGCCCTAGAGATACATGCACAAATTTAGTAGCCCAGTGGGCTGCAAGCAGTTCACTTGTAAAAAAGTGGAAGAGGAATGGACTATGAGTCAGCTGAAGTTTTCTGTTATCAGCTCTTTTTAAGGAAATTTTCATGGGCAGATTCTCCTTGAACCAGAGGGCACAGTTTTCACAAGGCTCAGCTCAGATCTATCTATCCATCCATCCACCCACCCAAGACCTATCCACCTAACCAGAGGCTGACTCCAGACCCAGCATCTGCACGAGACCTTCCTCTGGTATTTATTCATCTCCTTCACTTCCTTTACCAAAATAAACTCATTTCTTTTAATTTCTAGATCTTCTAGAAATCTTGCAATCTTCTTTCCACCCCTCACCTTCACGAGTTTTAGTATGTGCTGCCTCCAGCCTTTTCATACC